ATAGTCAGACTCTGTCTCAAAAAATTATAACAAAATAAGCAAGCAAGCAAACAAACAAACAAACAAAAAAAAGCACCCCATGCAATATTTATCCAGAATATGAGGTTTGAAACAAAATAGGTCATCTAATTCTGGAGTGGGGGTTTGTAACTGTCCATGGATGGTGTACCTGAAGGCCTAATTTTAGCCATGGCTCATCTCTGAAAAGTGCATGAAATATGTATTCATACAATTATGTGGCAATTCAAACTTATTTTTTGAATTAAAATTGGTTTCTTTATATTTATAAAAAATTTACAAATAATTGTATCTTGTAATTTCTTAAGCAGAATGAATATCCAACATTTGTAATAGCTTTAAATATGAATCTATCCAAGTGTCCAATACAACTTTGGCTATATCCATGCAATGGAATATTTTGTATTTGTTTCCTGGTGCCTACAGGGAATTGATTTCAAGATCTCATGTGGATGGATACTTAAGTCCCTTATATAAAGTGGCATAGTATTTTGGCTTGACATAGTGGTAAATGCCGGCTTGGGAAGCTGAGGCATCAGGCTAGCCTGATCTACAGGAGAAAGGACTGGTTTTTTTCTGTTTGTTTAAAGAACATTTGCAAATAACCCACATACACTTTCCATATACACACCTTATCTCCATGTCACTTTAATGCATAACACAATGTAATATGGTCGTTACAGTTGTTTGGAAGAATAAGTCACAAGAAAAAAAAATCTGTAAATGTTCAACACAGATGCCCTTTCCCCCAAAATCCTCTTTATTGAGATTGTTTGAAACCAAGGAAGCAGAGCTCATGTAGAGGGTATCTATGCAGCCATGAGAATTGATCTCACAGATGTAGTAGATTCAGGAGAACACATCCTCTATCATTTCTCCTAACAACAGCCTGCACTGGTCTGTAGTCAGGATTCCTACCCTTGGCAAAGCAAGCATCTGCTAGGGCCCAGAGTCGGCCTCTGGGAAGCTGGAAGTGTCTGAATATCCGTCTGAGCACTGTTATATTGGTGTTCCAGGGCTGTAGAATTATGGTTTGTGATCATTTTTCAAAGGTATGCAAATATTTCAATTAAAGAATTAATGAGGGGTTGGGGAGAAGGCTCAGCTGTTGAAGTGCTTGCCACACAAACATGAGGACCCAAGTTCATATCCCTGACACTCAAGTAAAAAGCTGGCTATTGCTTTATGTACCCATAACCCCAGGTAGGTTAAGGTAGGGAGGCTAGAGAGGAGGATTGCTGTGGTTTGCTCAGGGGCAGCCAGCTCTAGGCTCAGGAAGAGGTCCTGTCTCAAGGGAACAAATAAGGTGGAGAGTGATAAGCTAGGACACAGGGCATTTTCCTCTGACTTCTGCACACACAGACACAAACGTCTATACTGTCAAAGTAGAAACAAACAAACACAACACACATGTACTCACGCACACATGCACCAAAGGTGGACAGCAGTCAAGGAAGGACACCTGATATCATCAACCTATAGCTTCTAGGCCCACATGCATACACATACACTGTCAAAGTCCACACACACACACACACACACACACACACACACACACACACCACACCACAACAGACACACACACACTTTTTAGTGGAATTTTTTTCAATTCCTGGAAACAATACCATCCAAATAAATTCGATGGGGGGGGGGTGGAGGCTAGATCACAGGATGCCACCTGGCTGCTCTTGTGGAGTGAGTAAATGAAAGTCATTGAGGTGTTCTGCATCTTCAGTGTCTCTAGGTGGCTGATGGGAGAGAAAGGACCCTCTCTAGAAGGTGGCATCTGAGACCTCAGAGACGGGAGATCATGCATGAGAACCAACCGAAACTATATACAGAAACAGATCTATAGGGGCTCAAACCCCAGAACCATCAGACACAACCAGAAACAGCTACGTTTACATTAATGAGAGAAAGGGGCCAGACTTGGAGTTCTCAGCAGGGAATGAGAATCTATTAAAAAGTAACATGAAAAACTTAAAAGGGATGGTGGGCATGGTAGTGTCAGGTATGGTTGTGCATGCCTCCAACTCCAGCACTGGGAACAGTGGCAGGGGAATAAGCTCGAGTATATTGGCCACACAGCAGGCTTGAGTTCAGCCTGAGCTAGGTGAGACCCTGTCTCAAAAACAAAACAGTAACAACAAAAAAGAACCAAAGAATAACTATAGAACTAATAAACTCAAAACAAACCTTACAGCAACTAAAATTAAGAAAATGGACAAAGGACAGAACTAGGTGACACACACCTTTAATCCCAGCACTGGGAGGTAGAGACAGGAAGATCTCTTGAGTTCCAGGCCAGCTAGGATTATATAGTGAGAGCCTGTCTCAAAATAGAACAAAACAAAATGAAAAGGGGAAAGTTTAAAGGTAGATTAGGAATTACGAAGCGAGCAGAAGAAATAATATGAAGGCATTGAAGGGGGTGCAGAGGAAAGGCCTGAAGAGCAGGTGACTTGGGGATTCAGGAGAGGCGAGAGACTGGGGAAAGGTGATATTTGAAGAGATAATGGGTGAGAATTGATGAAAAGACATCAGTCCATATTCAGAAGCCAAGCAAAATTAAAAAACAAAAGCCTGCATTGAATTTAGACACAACATCATGACACTGCAAAACACCAGGAACAAGGAAAAATCTCTGAAGAAAGGATAAATCAAGGAAATATTAGCTTCAAAGAATAACGGTTGGAGTGACACCTCAACAGCAAAAGCAGAACCCAGAAAACGGAGGCATCAGCTTTCTCACGTCAGGAAAGAAAAGTGCCAGAACAGGGTTCTTTAGAGTTAGGAAAGTCATTACAAACTGAGAGAGATGGGCAGAAGCACAGAGGCAAGAGAAGCAACACTTTTCAAAGTTAAAACGCAGATGGACAAGTAGACACTGACGGCAGCAGCTCCTAAGACAGGAGGGGCAAAACCGAGCCAGCACATTCCATACCACAGCCTTTGCCAGCCCCAAACTGATGGCGTCAAATCCTTCTGCAACTGGAGCAATGAGAGCTGGGCAGGTCTGGCTGCAAAGGTGACTGTAGGAGCTTCCCTCCCACTCATAGCTGTCTTTCCTGTGTCTTCTTAGTACTGAGTCAGTTTAGTAAAGGGCCTCGCTGGGGACATGCTGAAGGTTTGTGCGTAGATTTTGAATAGGGGTATCAGTTCTCCACTCAGTTTAGCACCACCTGAGCCTTAGCTCTCCTCTGAACATGCATTTATCCCCCGGGGCCAAGAGGGTTCTTTAACATGTTCCCTGTAGCATCCTTCGGGAAAGCTCAGATGCAGCTATTCCCAGCCACATGTGCAGAACCAACTCTCATTGAGCTTTGTCTCTGTCCTCAAGTAAATATCATTAGCTACCAAAGGAGAATCTTAGAGGTACTAGACCAACTGGAGGGGAAAGTAATTTGGAGCAAACAGTTATTACCCAGCAAAGCAAAAGCCAGCTAACAGAAAATTTTAACATTTAAAAAGGCATTGCTCATTCTATTGGCTTTAGTCCCTATCCTTACTCATTGAAGTTCTAACAAAAGAGGATAGAAGCTGGTCGGGTACATTCCCAGACTCCCTTGCGACTCCTGGTTAGGTTTGGCCAATGGGAGATGCTTGTGGGGCCTGGGAAGTAGGAGGAAAAAGACATCTTCTTTTCCTATTTTACTAGGGCTTTTGGCAGTCACCACCACCACCGCCAAGAGTGGTTCTCTGCTCGGTGTGAGGAGCAGCCCAGCAGCAATGAGGGTGGGTTTGGGACTCCAGCAGCTGCCTGACCTTCTCTTGCCACCTCCCACCTTCCTGATTATTAGTTACTAGTCACCTCCATCAATACCTACGGTTTAAAAAGCTATAGCTGTTGCTGTTTTATTGAGTGAATGCTGACTGGCATTTTACATAAAAAAGAAACATTTGAAAAGAAAAAGGCCTTGGTTATTAAAAACATGGAAGTAGAAATAAAGGCAGCAGAAAGGGAAGAATGAAGCAATCACCAAGTGGAGAAAGGCAAGGATCAGACAGGAGGGTGGTGAATCCACATAGAGGAGCCTGCCTGACTCCAACAAACAAGCTAGCAAAGCAGGAGTGGGGTTCTGTTAGCCAGTGTGGCTCTGTGACCACACACCTGTCACAAGCTCTTTATAGCAGGAGGGGCTTATTTCGGCCCTTGGTTCATGGGCTAACATCCATCATGGTAGCAGAGGCAGAGGGACTGGAGCAATTCATGACCGGTGTGGTTCTCACCCAGGGAGCAAGGCCAAACTATAGCCCTCAAGGGCTACTGTTACTTCCCAGCCATGCCACCCAAGGCTAAAGAGCCAAACACACGGGCAGCAGGGGACATTTCAGATCAAATTATAACAGAGGTGAAATGCAAAACTCAACACTTCAGGACAGGTCTGTTGCTGAAGTGTTCACCCTGTAACCAGGACCTGGATTTAAAGCCCAGGATCCACATTAAAATGCCAGGTAAATTCTAACATTCCATTCCATTAGTTACTAGGATGTAAATCACTTATTCTCATACAAACATTGCAGTGCAGGGAACACTTCATCCTGCCTGGCACTTGGAAGAAAACTAAGAACCCCACAGATGAACTTTATTTGAATGTTTGCATCAAATGGCAAATGCTTGCTGGGGTAAAATTTATTAAATATTAAAACCCAAGTTCCAAGTTCAGTTAGCTGACATGTCTCCATCAATAGCAGACTGTTTACACTCATTGCTGTTTTCACCTCAAATCCAAGGGCATTTTTCTGGAAACCTCTTACATTGCTTTTACTGCCAACAAAAGAGCTAATTTTGAGTGTGTTTGTCTCATCAGTGGCAAATGCTTACCACCCACACCTCTTGTTTACATTGTGGCTGTTTCAAAAGGAGTTAAAATGAGCTCAATATTTACAGTAACTTTATTTTATTTTTTTACTAAGGAATTTTTTATTACATCTCCCCAAATAAGCTAAAAAGAAACACTTGTAAAAATACTGAAAACACATTTTAAGACCCCAGACTGATATGGTACATTTTATATGATTTACAGCTAAGAATAAGATGTCCAGTTCTATGAGGGGCTTTCTGGATGATTTTGATAGGAATTTACAGAAGGACTGTACATTTCAGGCTATGGATGTGGCTCAACAGTACAGTGCACACTTAGCACATACAAAGCTTTGGACTCAAGCCCCAGCATCTAAGGGAAGGAAGATTTACATTCAGTTTTAGTTAACTGCATGTTTGCTGACAGGCACTAATGATGAGAGTCTAGAAGGCAGACATTTATATGGCGGAACTGCCAGGACTTTCCCTACAACAGATTCAATCATTTTACCCAGATTTTTCTCCCTAATATTTTAAATGGTAATACAAATACACATATGGTAAAAGATGCACATAGACCAGAACGACTAAAATAGCAAGAACTTCCTTCGGCAGCACATACACAGCTAAAATAACAATATCCCCTCCTAACAGCAGGTCTCATGTGCCCGAAACCCTTAAACAGTCATATATGGTTGAGCAGTTCACAAGTCAAAGCTGACCTGTGGTCTGCAAACACTCATGTCCATGGACGTTGTGCAGATGATCTTTTTTTTTTTTTTTTTCTGTCACAGAGAAAAGCCACAAAGTCTTCTCTTTTAGAAAGTTTAAAGGTGATGTGTACATGAGTTCAAAATCGGCTGAGTCCAGGCAGCTCCTCAGATGCCACTGGTGTCACTGTGGCTCCAGAAGGTCCCAGGTATAGGCTCTGAAATTTAGGAATCACATTTACTCACAAGGCTTTTTTCTTTTTCTCCCAGAGACAAAGTTTCTCTGTGTAACAGTCCTGGCTGTCCTGCATTTCCGCTTGTAGACCAGGCTGCCGCAAACTACTCACAGAGATCCTTCTGCCTCTGTCTCCTAAGTGCTAGGATTAAAGGTGTGTGCCACCATACCTGGCTAACAAGGCGTTGTTTTAAAAAAAGATTTCCTTTAAAGTTGAAGCCAGGCATAGTGGCGCACGCCTTTAATTCCAGTACTTGGGAGGCAAAGACCCTGTCTCAGAAAAAAACAACAATAAAAACCAAAGACAAAAACAAAACAAAAAACAAAACAAAACCAAAAAACCCAAAAAAGACAAAACAAAACAGGATCCAGTCTTTGTAAATGGCAATTTGCACTGAAGGATACAGAGCACCGCTCATCTCTCCCCTTCTTTTTGAAGAAGGCTCTCACTATGCAGTGCCAGCTGCATCCTGCCTGGCACGTGAGATGCTCACACTGGTCTCGAGATCCTTATCCTCTTGCTTTGGCTTCCCAAGTGCTGGGGTTACAAGCAGGAACCACTATACCTGAATTTTATTTTAACATTGTACAAAAAGACACCAACCATGTCGCATGCCTTCCAAGCAGTTGAGAAAGGCCAGACCTTTATTAGGGAACAAATAGGTGAGATGGCAAGGGACGAAGGATGCATGACACTCTCCCCTTCAGACCAATCTCCACTCCCTGCAACAAGCAGCACTCACTCTCCGAGCAGGAGAGACTTACGGACCTACAGCACACTGCCAGCTCAGCCGAGTCCTCCCTCAATGCCTCGGATCCTCCTGGTCAGCTGCACGTCCTTGGGGAAGAGAGTGACTCGGCCAGCATGTAAGGTGAGAAGATAGGCGTCCTCAAAGAGGTGAACTAGAAATGCTTCTGCTGCCTGGGGCACAAAGAGAAGACTGACATGGATAAGGGCCTGGGCTGGTTTTTCTTGGAGACAAACTGACTTAAAGGACTGAAGTAAAGAATGGCGTGAATCCAGTGGCCACCCACCAGACCCTCCAAACTGTCAGGTATTACACATTAGCTGCTTTCAGGAGGCCAGGAACAGTCTGTGGTACCCACCCCTTGTGCCATCCTGTGGAATTCTGGGACGCTCTTTCCCCTACTCCTTACCTCTTGAAGGGCCAACAAGGCCTGGGCTTGCCAATACAGGTCCACACCTCGAGTGAATTTCCCACATATTTCTCTTACCTATGGAAGAACGGGTGGGGATGAGCTGAGAGTAGCAGAAGAGTGATCCGATTATCTCTAAGCTTCCTTACTTCCACCATTATGTGTTGCCCTTGAACTAAAGGCTTGGCTTAGAGTAGGTGCCGACTCCTTTAACTGGAATAGCTTATGGGCAGAGAGGAGAAAAGACTGGCAGGAAGGGAAACTGGATGAGAGGGTTCTACCACAGATAGAGGTAATGAGGAGAAATCAGCACCAGAAAAACAGAATGTGCAGTGCCCCAAAGGGTTAGAGGTGACCTTCAGCCACAACAGTAAGAAGCAGAAGTCTCCCATATAAGTGGGAGACTTAAAGTAAACATGGCCCAAGGCAGAGTGACAGTCCCCAGAACTCACAACTCGGCTGAAAGGCTGCTTCCTTAGCAGGAGGTCTGAACTCTTCTGCAGTTTCTTTATCTCCTTAAGCCACAGAAATTTCCGTCTCCTGCCTGAGGAGAGTTAGGTCATAAGGGAAGTGCAGTGGAAACAAGTGGTACCTTGCAGCACAGCTGAAGACAAACCTTCATATCAAAGGACTATATCCCACGGAGTGGGGATTCTGTTCTTCCCTGCAGGTGGAGTCAGCACAGATGCTCAAGACAGGCTTGATAAGCAAGTGCAGTCTGAGCCTTTCTCAAATCCCAGTCCCTTCCCAAAAGATCCTTCCTGTTGGGCTCCACAGTACTCCACGCATCTCACATCTTTCCTGTTCCCACCTAGATTTTAGGTTCTTTTCTTTCTTTGTAACAGCTGGAAGGCATTAGATACTACCTAGTACGGATCCTTTGTCTTGCTTACCCTGGGGCCCAGGGAAGTAAAGATAGCTGGCCAGTGCTCATTAGAGGCCAAGTTGGGAACTTAGAAGAGGCATAATTCAGTGCAAGTGCTAGGAAGGAATGTGGGCTGTGAAGCCGAGCCTTTGGTAAAAATTCAAATTCTCACTAGAAAATAAAAATATGGAACTAAAACCAAATTCTGCTCTATAGAGATGCAGCTTTGCAGTAAAGGGCTTGATTAGCATGCACGAAGTCATGGGTTCAATCCCACAAAAAAAAAAAAAAAAAAAAAATTACTAACTCTCATGTTGAAGAAGAAACTTAACTGATATTAGACCACTTTAGATGAATAATATAAAAATCTACTTTTAAAAACCTAAAAGATAAGCTGAGTGGTGGTGGTGCACACCTTTAATTCACGCACTCGAGAGGCAGAGGCAGGTGGATCTCTGTGAGTCAGAGGCCAGCCTGGTCTACAGAGAGAGTTCCTGGACAGCCAGGGCTACACAGAGAAACCCTGTATTAAAAAACCAAAAACACAAAACAAAAAACTGAAAGCACCAGCAGCAAATTAATAGCCTGAAATATATCTAGTAGAAAACCAGAATGACAAATGAGTTAAGGCCTAGAGATGGTTTAGTGGTCAGAGCGTGTACCACCCTTAAGGAGGAACCAAGTTTGGCTCCTAGCACCCACGTCAGGTGGCTCACAATGCCTATACTTTAGGTCTAGGGGCACTAATGATTGGTGTCCTTGGGCACCTGTACTGTTGTGCATATACAAATGATTAGAAATAAAAATTGGGGCTAGAGAGATGGCTTATTGGTTAAGAGTATGTGTTGTTCTTGCAGAGGACCAGGGTTTGGTGCCTGCGCACGCACATACACACACAAATCCAGGCAAAACACTCACACATATAAATAATAATGTGGTGGTCTGAAAAAAAAAAATGGCCCCCATAAGCACAAAAGGAGTGGCTTTGTTGGAGGAGGTATCACTAGGAGGTGGGCTTTGCGGTCTGGGAAGATCTAGCCTGTCCCGTCTGTCACCAGCACTTCTTGCTGCCTTCAGATCCAGACAGAACCCTCAGCTTCTTCCCAGCACCATGTCTGTCTGATGCTTCCTGCCCAGATGATAATGGACAAAACCTCTCAACTGTGAGCCAGTCCCAGTTAAATGTTTTCCTTTGGAGTTGCCAGGGTGATGGTGTCTCTTCACAGCAATAAAACCCAATTAAGACAAATAAAAACCACAAAAATCCTTGTGGGTGTTTTGCCTGCATGTATGTGTGTGCCCCGTGTGCATGCCCGGTGCCCGCAGACATCAGAAGGTGTCGGATTCCCCACACTGTAGTTACAATTACAGGTGGTTGTTAGCTGCTATGTGGGTACTGGGAAGAGTAGTCAGTGCTTTTTAACTACTAAGCCATCACTCTAGGCCTCCCAAATAAAAGTAAATCTTTAAAAAATAGATAATTGAGTTAAATTAAACTGAAATGTTAGTTATTAAGATAAACAAGGCGCACAAATGGACTTTGGGAGCCTGTTCCCTATGGAGGGACACTCTCTCAGCCTAAATACACTGGGGAGGGCCTAGGTCCTGCCACAAATGATGTGACAGACTTTGATGATGCCCCCATGGGAGGCCTCACCCTCCCTGGGGAGTGGGGGTTGATGGGAGTCGTGGGAGGATGGAAGGGAGACGGAACTGGGATTGGTATGTAAAATAAGATTGTTTTTTATAAATAAAAATTTATAAAAAGATAAACAAGGCATAGTAAATGTAATAAATTAGTGAAAATAAAATAAGTAAATAGTATAATTGCTCAATAACTATAAACAATGACTGATAAAAATGCGTAAGACTGATTAGTTGAACAGCTTGGCTAAGGCAATTAACAAAACAAAACAAAACAAAACCATACATGGGTACAGGCTGGAGATGCAGCTTAGAGCACTCCATTATATCCCGGGTACTGCAAAATAGGACCAATGAAAAAGACAGCATTTTAAAGGACAAAATTAGCTTCAAAGTCCACCCAAGAAAGAAGACTCTATCCCAAGCAGTGAGGAACACTGCAGGGCCATGGAAGATGGGAGACAGGCAGATGACCTATGCCAGGTGGGTGGCAGTGCAGAATTAATCCTAGGTGAGGTTAGGATTATGTTCCAAAAACACAGCAGTGTCCAGGGTAATGGTGACACAGAAGGCAAAGAGAGAGGAAGGACCCTGTTCTGCTTTGGTTTCTGTTGTTGTGATAAACATCATAACCAGACAACTGGGGGAGGGGAGGGTTTACTTGGTTTACATTATAGTCCATCCTCAAGAGAGGCCTGGGTAGGAGCTCAAAGCAGGCAGGCTCCTGGAGGCAGGAACCACGAAGCTGTGATGCTTGCTGACCTGCTTTCCTAGCCCAAATCCTCTGCCCAGGGGTGAGGTGGTACTCTCCACCGAGGACTGGGCCCTCCTATTACCCAGCAGTTAAGAAAACGCTTCACAGACATGGACACAGGCCACACCGATAGAAGTAGTCCTCCAGCTGTTTAATACAAGACTAGAAACCTTGGGGGGGCTGGAGAGATGGCTCAGCGGGTAAGAGCACCTGCTCTTCCAGAGGACCCAGGTTCAATTCCCAGCTCCCACATGGCAGCTCACAACTGTAACTCCAGTTCCATACATGCAGGCAAAACAACAATGCACATAAAATAAACATAAACATAAACAACAACAATGAGTGTAAGTTGAGTAGTGGCTGTTGAGGGGGGCTCCTATTGTGTGTGTCAGGGGAGGGGAGGGAAGAACAGCCAGTGATTTGAACTAGGCTGGGGAGACCAAAGTATGCAAGGAAACTAATAAAAAGTTGGATTTGGAAAGCTGGCTCAACAGTAAACAGCGCCAGGAGGCCTGAGTTCTGTTCCCAGCACCCTTACCCTTATGCCTGTGGTTTCCGGGGTTCGGAGCCCTCTTCTGGCCATCGCCAGCACCCTCGGAGGTTCGGTTCGGGCAGGCCCGCTTACCTAGATGGGAGCTCCGTCGCGAGGGTTCAGAGGAGCGCCTCGTCGGGGTCGTCGGCTTGCGGCGCGGGCCCATGGCTGGCCTCGAGGGAACAAGCTCCGCCGCCTCCGCTAAGCCTCCGGGCCTGCGGCAGAAGCCGGACGAGAGAGCGCAGTGACCGAGCTTGTTAGAGCCACGGGGAATCCGCCGCCATCAGTTCATACATCACTTGCCCCGCCCACTGCATTTTTTAAAACCCCAACTCCGTGACTCTCAGTGGCTGGCTCTGGAACACCACCGTGGAGCGACAGCCGGAAGAACCAGTGAGGATGAAGGTCTGGCCTCAGAGTCAGCCAATTGGCACTTGGAGAAGCGAAGGAAGGCGGGGCTCCCTCACACGGCGTGTTGATCTTTGACTGGTGCCCTCTGGGCAAAGGGGCAACTCAGTTCTGATGGTGGTAAGTTTGTAGAATTCATTCCCTCAAACGTTTTACGCTTTCATATCAACATTGGTGCGGCTTTGAGAATGGAGAAACAGACCGCCCAAGAATGTGACAACTCCACACAGCTCCCGGGCCAGAGCAACCAGCAAATAGGATTCGGAGGCCAGGTTAACTCCGTGAACTTTTCTAGGGTCGTGGGGACAGCCAGGACGAAGGGATCTGAGGACACAGTCCAGGCAGAGCAGGCGCCAGCACTATTCTTGGACTATGCTATTGAACACCGTGACGAAATTGTTCGGGGCGGGGGCAACTTTTTCCTTCTGTGAGTAATATAAATTCCGGTCATATCTCCATCATTAGAATAAAGAGGATTTCAATTTCATCATTTTGCTCTGTTGAGTTTTCTAAATGCTCTACCATGAACGTGTACTCCAATCAAGAATCTCCTTATATAATCAGTGGTTTCACAGAACCCTTCTGCAACACTGGGGGTGGGGTGGGGTAAAATGGCTCAGCTGCTATGGAAATGTGCCATGGTTGGAATCTGAAATGTCCTACAAAAGCTTGGTCCCCAGTGCAGCAGTGTTCAGGGCTGGGGCCTTTGGGAGATGATGGGGCCACAGGTGCTCTGACTTCATCTGTGGATTTTAATTCCAGCACTTGGGAGGTAGAGGCAAGAGGTTTGCTCCAAGTTCGGGAGAGCCTAGCCTAGTGAGTTCTAGACTTGTCATCTTATGTAGTAAAATTTGTCTCAAACAAACAAAAAGCCAACCAACCAAACAAACAAAGGCTGATGACACAGCTCAATGTTAAAGCACTTGCCTCATATACAAGGTTCTGTGTTCAACCACTAGTATGCTACCTACAAACACAAAATTTAAACATGTTATATATCCAAAAGAAATAGAAGCACGAATATATGTATGTGTATATATATATGTGTGTGTGTATATTTATATATGTGTGTATATATAGATGTATGTGTGTAATATATATATATATATATATATATATATATATATATATTCACAGTGGTTTTACTCACAATGACCAAAAGCGGAAAGTACCTGAGTGTCTATCAACAAATGAATAGAGAAAATGCATACACAATGGTGTGCTATTCACCTTTAAAAAGGGAAGAATTTCTGACATAAGCTACATGGATGAACCTTGAAATCACTATGCTAAGTGACATAAGCTAGTTACAGAAATGATTCCACTGACATGAAGTAGATAAGAGAGTAGTCGAATTCATTAAGAGAGAAAAATAGAATGCTGGTTGCTAGGAGCTGGGAGGATGGATAATGGAGTCATTGTGGAATGGGAACAGAGTTTCCAATTGGGAAGTGAAAGCCATTCTACAGGTTGTGGTTGTATAACATGTATGTTCTTAATTCCATCAAAATTTTATATTTACTAAAAGTAGAGAGAAAGAAAAGGAGGGTTCTAAGTTCTTTAAGGCATAGTCAAATCACAGAAAGATGACCCAACCCCCAATTATCCACATCAATATGGACTGAAGAAATTGCATCCTCAGCAACTTAGACAGAGTAGTCACTTATGAACTCTGCTTTAGACAGATAGCCCTTTATTAAACTAGACGTAGAAAGCTGATAGAAGACAATTTAGAATCCCTTAGAAACTGATGAAGCTGGCTGCCTCTGAAGCAGTACTAGTAAGTGGGTTAGGGTAGAAGAGGGAGGGGTATTTATTAATGTATACGTTTTTTTCTACATATTTTGGTTTTTGAACCAATGGAGCTACCGATGGTTTTAAAAAGATTTATTTATGTACTTTATGTATATGAGTGTTCTGTCTACTCCAGAACATGGCATCAGATCCCATTATAGACAGTTGAGATACCATGTGTGCTTATCTGCTGAGCTATCTCTCCAGTCTGATTTTTTTTTTAAATAAACTAAATGGAAACAAAGTGGGCTGAAGATGTCAAGGTGAACACTAGCTGTCTTTGAGCTCTAGACCAGTTAAATGGAACAAAAGTAGTAAACTATAGATCATAGGAACTCTCAGAACTATTGGGGAGTTCAGCTTAGGAGAGAGAAAAAGGGAAAATTAGTTGGTTGTGCCATAATGTCTGAGACAGACTCCTTCAGTCAAAGCTGAAGGCACATAGGAAAAGCAGCAGAGGCAGGACTTGAACCCCACACCTAGCAATGTCTCCACACCACTGCTTCCTATGGTGGTTTTTTTTTTTTTTTTTTTTACTGAAGAGAGAAGTGGGTACAATTCCACATATCTGAAGTCTGAGCTACTCTAGACAGGAAGATCATTCTTGCCCAGGAATTGTGGCCCAGTAGCATGCTTTGCTGGTTTGACATCAAATGGTGACCTGGGACTTGGGAACCACCACATTGCTCTTGCTAATTGGAAAAGATACACTCTGGCTTAAGCAATACAGTGAGAAATTACAGGGGAGAGAAGGAGGGAGGAAGGAAGAGAGCAGCGACAGTCTAACTCAAGGAGCTATGTAATTGAGGTGTCACTGTGCCTGGCTCAAGAGAAGTCCGACTTGAGAAATGTCAATTGTGATAGGCATGATGGTTATGACCTGTTGTCCAATCTACTTGAGAGGCTGAGGGAGAACAAAAGTTCAAGGACTGCCTGGGCTACAGGACAAGGCCAGTCTGGACAACTGAGGAAGACTCAAAACCGGGCTGGGGATATAGGTCATTGGTAGAGAGCTAGCCTAGCAAGCATGATGCCTCTGGGTTTGATTTCCAACACACACACACACACACACACACACACACACACACACACACACACACACTTTAGGTTAACTTTTATGATCAGAACACACAGTCCCCACCTTGACTGTGGTCAGCTTAAGAGCATGGCTTGAGTGTGGGCTTTACATAAGCTTTTAATAAGCTTGGATTCTAGCTTCCTGTTCGTTAGCTCCATGACTTTGGAGATTCACTTGCCTGCCATAAATGATAGTTTCAATCTTGCATAGAACAGGTAGTGACACTTGTTTCATCACTGGGAGAAGTAACTGACTAGGAAGTTGCATTTCCTTCTATCATGGGCTATGTCATTCTTTTCTGGTAATGGATCCCACACATCCTGCTCTAGTATAGTAAGCTGGGAATAGTGTTTCCTTGAAGTTGTCATGTGGCTTCTACATGCATATGTAGACATGTATAGACACATCTGCTTCTACACGTGTACTTGGACATGCACACACATACATTCACTTACATTTAAAAAGTAGATAAGGTTCATTAAAGTTGATTCTGCCTATGTGGCTTGAATGATCCCAAAGTGGAGGTACACTTGAGACAGATGGGTTGAGGATGAAGGGTACTAAGGATGTACTTTCTAAAGGGATGCCCCTCTGCCTCCTGCAGCAGGCTGTGGAGGCATACTGTGTTCTGGTCCTCGGCCTGTTCTACCACTGACAATCATTGCTTCATTCTCTATCATTTCTGGAGGAAAACCACTTTAAACTTGACTGCTACATATCTCCCTCTTTGATGCCAGGCTGAAGAGGATATTTTTTTTGGATCCTGGAAGAGCACTGAAAAATGATTTGGCGGCACAAAGAGAAAATGTGCCACTGCAGCTCCTTGCAGTGGTGAGTGCTCTGATGAACCCAAGGTCATACATGAACTCACATCTCCAAGGATGCCCAAGAGCAGACCAACCTCATGAGCTCTCCCAGACTTGTGGCAGCCCTTCAGATGGGTACCTATAACACTATAAAAGCTCAAATGTCCTGTCCTGATTTCTGGGTTACCAGTTTTATCTTGTGGCAAATGACCTAGTTATGGCATCATATAAGTCATAAATGGTAGCAGTACAGCATGGAGCCCAATGCTGTACTCACACTCACTCTTAGTTAAGATAGGGTTTTAAAAGTGAAGTCTGGACTGTACCAGCCACTGCTGCCAAACCTAGGTCTCCATTTGTTCTCAGTAAGGTCAGGAGAGCCATAGCAGCACTCTCCAGAACTCAGTTTCCCCATGTCTAAAACAGTGCTCAATGTCCCAGCACTTGGGAGGCAGAGGCGGGTGGATCTCTGACTTTGAGGCCCGCCTGGTCTACAGAGTGAGTTCCAACGACAGCCAGAGCTACACAGAGGAAGCCTGTCTCACCATCCCCCCCAAAAAGCGGGCAACCCAAATTTCTAAGACTTAACAGTCTCCTACTGATCTTGGAGTTTGAGAGGATGTCGGCAGGTGGGCATGGCGGCATATGCCTGTTTACACAAGTGGGGCTGTTCAGGGCAGGTGAGATTCTGGCTACCAACTCTGGTCTGTCCATCTGTGGCACAATGGGATGGGCAATGAACCAGTGCATTGTCTGTAACCAGCTGTGATCTCCAGGAAGTCCTTCCCATTCTGGGCATTAGTGTCCTTCAGGGTCTTTACAATTATTATCACATGTGTGTGATATGTATGTGAGTGGGGGTGCATTGTGTTACAGGTGCACATGGAGGTCAGGGGACGTTTGGGAGTCAGCTTGCTCCTTCCACTGAGGGTTCTGGGATTGAACTCAGGCCACCAGGTTTTCAAGGCAAATGCTTTTCCCTGATGAGCAATCTCTCCGGCCCTGGGCTCTACTGTCTTCTTCAGAAGGAGTAAATGTGCTTCTGACACTCAACATTCATTCTAGATGCTACTCTTGGGCTCTCTTACACCTTTTCTCTTTCATTAAAAGAAGGTCCAATGTTGACAGTTTTCCATTTTTAAAAAAATAAACTCAGAAACAACATGGTAGGGCCCCAGCTTTTTTTGTACAGGAGAGCTGCCACACTGTCTCTGCCACCTTAAGTGGGCACAGAATCAACTGTAACCTGAGGGCCTTGCTCATCAAAGGCCTCTTCCCCCCACAATCTCTTTAAGAAAGGTCTTAGGGTTTTGTTTATTATTGGGCTGCCACTCAACCATTCCCATGAGCAATGCTGGGATTAAGGGCTGCCAGGGCCCTGGTCCTGTTGCATTTCTTCTATTAAGGGTGGGAGTACCTGCAGGGTAACAGTATGTTAGGTACTTAGCACAGCCATAGAAATCCACCCTGAAGAACCAGAGAGACCTACATGGTAGTGGGCCACAGGTTTCAAATCAGACAAACCTGGCTGGCTGGAATACTGGACACTTAGCCTTCTGGGAGTGCCATAGCTTTTCCCTCTGTATCTGCCTCTGCACATATGAGAAGGAGTGAGAACTCAGCATTTAACCCAATGCTGGGGATACCAAATTATTTCCTAAGGAAGAACCCTGGGAAGTCTGTCATCCTGGTGAGTACCCTGGGCCCAGACTGCTGGGAGTGGGACTGTGAGCCACAGCTGCCCCAGGTCTCACTAACATAGAGCCACATGGCCGCCCAGATCGGGGTTCTCCCAGGCCTTTGGCCCAAGCTGATCCTTCTTGCCAAACACGTTACAAAATTCAGTCTCCTTACCTTAAAATGGAAGCTCTCCAGGCATGGTGGCATATGCCTGTCATTTCAGCACTCAGGAGGCTGAGGCAGGAGGACTGAGTCTGAAGCCATCTCAGGGCTACATGGGAAGTTGAATGCCAGTGCTACACAAGACTTTGCTTCAAACAAAACAAAATGGGTCATGAAGTGATTTCCAAGGGCTGCCTGGAATAGTTTTTCCCAAGAAGCCTTGGAGTATGAAGAACAGAGCATCAACAAGGTGCTGGGCATGGTGACACATACCTTTAATTCCAGCACTCAGGAAGCAGAGACAGGTGAATCTCTATGAGTTTGAGGCCAGCCTGGTCTACATCATGAGTTCCAGGCCAGCCTGGTCTACATCATGAGTTTCAGGCCAGCCAGGGCTGCAGAGTGGCAAAAAAACCCCACCATGGTGAGGAGAGGTACCATACCTCTTTTCTAATGCTAGTGACAGTCAGAGGCCCACAGAATGCTGGGGCTGCAAGGCACGAAAACCACATTGTGTCCACCTGTGCTCCAGAGTGGACAGACCTGGTGCACACACGGAAGTCTGCAACCAAGTCTGAGCCGGACTCTCAGTCTCCAGACAGGCTTAAGTTTGGAGACTACATCTCTGAGCTCTGATTTGAACCTGCTCACCAAATTCTTTGTAGCTTATGATTCATAAGCTAGATAATCTACTGTAACAAGTTAGTGTATTACACAGAAATACTAGGGTTGTAAATTCCTGCCATTCAAGCTCACAATTTTGCAGAAAGAACTGGGATGCCATACCCTGGCCTGTGGAGGCTGGGTCCCAACATTATAGGCATCAGGAATAAAAGAGGACCTGGTGTTCTGCCATCCTCTCTGGCAGCAGCTGTCCAAAGGGGTCATTAGGGAGGGGTGGGGTGAGGCCTTGGGGACAGGGCACTCACAGCCCACCAGTCTGCATGGCTTCAGTCATCTGGTGGCAGCAGAAGACCCCCCCACCAGGGGCTCAGCTGGCATCATTGATAGGAGTCCGGCTGTCACCCAACAGTCTCTCTTGCTCACCATCTTGGGCAGGGGGATGCCAGCTCCTGGACAGGCAGGCTAGCAGTGGATGGTGCAGTCCATTATAGAGGGCAGTGCCCATGAGAAGGATGAAGAAGCCAAGGATCTGCAGTGGGTGGAAGGTCTCCCAGCCCAGTGCGAGGCTCAAGGCCCAGATGACCACAGTACGTAAGCTGTCTAGCACCATGCGGGTGGTGGCACTCAGTTCCTTGGTGACACTGATCCCGGCAAAGTTGAAGAAGGCGATGCTGCTGATATTGCCCAGCAGAGCCAGGGCAATCAGGGGCTGTCGGGCCACCTGGCAGAAGGCATCCAGTGCATCCTCCAGCATCCCACGAGGGTTCCCACTAAAGGAGCCAGCTGGGATGTAGTACATGGGCACAAGGAGCAGTGAGAGGATCATAAAGCCAAAGAAGCCTGGGGGAAGCAAGGAGGCACATCACATTCTCCACCCTGCCTGGGGCTTCCCAGCATGCCCACTGGTAGGCAGTCTCTCATCTCAGAACCACTGTTGTTGTTAGTTTCCTGTGGTCCACTCCTAGGATGTGCCCCTCTGCCTTGATGGCAAATCACACTCAAATGATGATTCACTGGCTTCCAAACTCACAACTGCTAACTCAAGCTAACTCAAGCCATCGCCCTGTCAGAGAGTTCCTCTCTCTTCCTCCTGTCTGTTGAAGCTGTGGCCCCAAGGTCACCTTTCCTGCCCCAAGAGACTCAGAACTGCTCAGCACATGAAGTGCCTGAAAATGACTGGTCTAAGCTCAAGTGCACTGTGTGGCCCCTTCCTTGCTGTCATTGACTCTAGAGAGGGCATGTATCTTAGTCATTTTCCTTCTCCGTCTCCTCTCCCCTTGCCCATGTCCCTCTGGGGATGGAGGCTCACTCTATCAAGTGGTTACCAGCCCCTGCCCCACTGTTATGTGTTTCATACACATGCTGTCCCAGCATGCCCTTCCCACCAGCTACTGCTCCCAGGCCTGTGCCCACACGCACCCTCAATGCCCACTGCCCTGAGTGGGTGAACGTTGTGTTTGTAGACAAACTTCTCCTCTAGCACCATCTGGATGGCAACGATGATTTGGGCCATGATGATCAACAAGTCACCTGAGGAGAAGAGGCTGGAATGAAGCAGGGTACCATGGGACTAGGGTTAGGGGTAGTGACAGGAGGATCCAGGGACAGAACGGCAAGTCAGCTCTTCATTTTTCAGGGTTGAATATGGGTTCTGACTTCCTAGCCCGAGGGCAAGACAACAGGCAGGCCTGGGGTTCCAGAAGGCCCCAAGACCTGCCTTGGCCTGAGAACTGCATAAGCAACAGGCTTGAGACAAGACATCAGGTTTAATTGTGAATCTGAGTGGCTCGGGTCAACTTCATCGTAAAATGTGCTGCAGTAGTTCCTGTTGGGGTCTGGGCCACTGTGATGCATGGGGCTGGGCATGTGTCAGAAACTGGTCCTTCTGTCCCTCTCCAAATCAGCAGTTTGTATTTGTGAAAATGAGCCACAGGTCCAGACCACTCCCTCATGCTGCTTGTCTGTCTCTTCCTTGTAGTGGTCACAGCCTTCTGGTCTCCCTCACACTCTACTCATCAAGTACCCATCAGGTATATGACCCAACCCAGGGTACACAGGTGGCAGAGCTTGGATGAATCTGTGGGATGACTTTATGCTAGGCTTCCGGAGAGGAGGAGACAGGGGAAGCAGCCTCGGGTTCCCACCTGGCCTTACCTGTGATGACTTCGCTGAGCTTGTGTTGACTGTCATGCTTGCTTAGGAGGTCAGCGAGGCCAACCACCACCAGTCCCACAATGGTGGCCAGGATGCCCACCCACTGGCTTGGTGCCAGCCTCCGGTTCAGGAAGGCCACTGAGAACAGGCCTGTGAAGATGATCACTGCTCCCCGCAGCATCTGGAAGCTTGAGGCACTGGTCATGTTCAGGGCTAGCAAAGGGAAGATAGGATTAATGGCTGTTAAGGGCAAAGGCTACCTGCCACTAAGGTACCCCCAGGGAGTAGGGACAAGATGAGCTTGCTCACTAAGTCTTGGATGTGGCCATATGAAGACTGTGAGGGAGTGGAGGGTGGGGCAGGGGTACTGATTCACTGGTAGCCAATTAAACTTGGCCTCACTCGCCAGGTTACTTACCCACGTACATGAGGCTGGTTCCAGTCATGTCACACAGGGCTGGGGGCAGGAAAAGGAGGGCATTGAAGGACTGCTGGGGCTCTACATTGGAGTCAGATTGTCTTCTGGCTCTGCACTGGAGCAGGTAGAAGGCAGCAAGGCACGAAAACTCTCCCAGGAACATACCCACTGCCTGTAGGAACGAGACTTGAGGACTCGGCATGGAAGAACTTCAGGGCCACCTATAGTAATACTGATTTTGTTTGTTTTAATAAAACCACACTTCAGACAAGAGCTTATCCTAGAATCCCCAAATGTCAAACAAACAAAAGCGGAGTAGCTGTGGGTAGCCGGCCAGGCCTCTAGGCCCATCACAGGGGCCCCAGAACATCTCAGAGGACACCTTATGGGGTGTGGCATGGTGTAAACTCAACCTTTTATAATCCAGACTTAGACAGGTTCAAAGACTCATGGAAGGGCTGACAGCCAGCCGCTAACACACTGGAGATGAATCTGAGCTTTCCAACGCTCAGTCCAGAAAGGGGGTATCTTCCCTGCTCCTATCCCAGTGGAGTTCTGGGCTCAAGGGAAATGTACAGCATACTTTTGTCACTGGAGATAGTGCTTTTCATGTGTTGAGATGGGGGCTGGCGAGAGTATGACCATTCATCAAGACCTCCCACGGAGGACTATGCCTCTTCCTGGGGTGCTCTTGGACTCTGACCCTATTCTGTGAGAGGAGAGAAGTAGATGGCTTTTGGGGAACCAGGGGAGCTTCATCCCTAGGCCAGGAAATAGACCAGCCCCAGAGGTGTCTGGGTGAAGCTTGGGAGATGGGCGGGAGGATGTGCTGGTACCTGGAGGAAGGGATGTTCAAAGTTGTGCTCCGTGCTCCCTCCACAGCCTTCAGCTTTGAAGTTGTCTGCCCACCTGCAGCAGAGAGAGGGGAGTCAGACTGGAGGCACAACGGATTCTCCACCTGGCTAGACTCACACTCAGCCCCAGCTGACTCTCCTTTTCAGAGGAGCCTGTCTCCATGGTGAGGGTTTTAAGACAGCATTTCATCAATTTATAAACACAGAATCACAGCACTAGTGCTTCTGCAACTTGTAGAAATCATATATTATTGTTACATTAGTGTTGTTTATATGAAGTACATTACACCCATTACTCCTCAAAATAAAATTAAAGTCACTGCTTGAAACTGAGTGTATTAAACATACACATTGCAAAACAAGGTAATTTTTTTTTTCTGTTTCCTGAGACAAGGTCTTATTATTATACAATCCAGGCTTGAATTTGAAATCCTCTTGCCTCAGGTTCCTGAGAGTAAGGATTATAGACATGTATCAAACCTGGCAACAAATCTGCTCTCTAATATTTGATTTATTTTATTTCAACTTGTTTGGCTTCTTTTGAAATCTTTGATCTCTACCAGACTGTCAAAGGGACCAGTACATGAAAAGTGTCAAGAATCTCTGGTCATCTGGACATGGGGCCACACATCTGTAAGTGTACCATTAAAGTGGCTAAGCCAAGTGGACTGATGTGAGCTCAAGGCCAGCCTGAGCTACACAGTGAGTTGGAAGCTAGCTAGCTACCTACCAACCAACCAGCCTACCAATCAACAACCAACCAACCTATCTACCAACCAATCAACCAACCTACTACCAATCAACCTATTACCAAGCAACCAACCAACCAGACCAGCAACCAGCCTACCAACCAACCAGCCTAGTCTCTTGTCTAGAGGGGTATTCAGGCTCAGGAGATGACCACTGGCCTTCCTAACACATACCTAAGGCATGTGGCACCTGCCATAGAGTATGGATACCATTGAGTACCAGCACAGACAGAGACCGGTGGTGGAAATGGACCCCATCAAGCTCGGAACCTTTCCCAGCATACTTCAGGCAGTGACATCCATCATTCAGAATTTTTGCCACTTAAGCACAAAAACTCCTTCTGACTTTCCTTCCTGATGGGCTGCTATGTTTTCAGACTAATCCATTTTTTAACTGGAGATCCCTTTGCCACCTGGAGCCACTCTGACCTTGTGAATTTTCTTTTCTGGATAACTACCCTAGGCCTTCCTAGTCTTCCACCCTCCTGGCTGCTGACTTCTGAAAGTGCTCCTGTGGACCCAGGACTAAGCCATGTGAATTGTATGGCCTAGGCAAGAGACTGGCAGGATGGTGGCCCCTCCCTCATGTTGGACATTGTAGGTCAGCTGACAAACTCTGACTGTACCAGCCATGTTGCCTCCTGTCTCCAACTGATACACATTAGCTGTTCCCCATGGGCATGGGCTTACACCCACTGTAGTTCCATACCTGGACATCTCTAAGGTCAAAACTCAGGGCTTCTCTGGGAATGTCTTTTCCTTAGAACATCTTACCAGGGCAGCCACACTGCAGCACACCCATGTGCAGGACTTACCAGTTAATAAGCCTGAGTTCCCAAAGGATGGGGGGTGGGCTTCTGGAGGGTTCTAAGGAACAATGACCAAAAGAAAACTGAAAGGAGAAGTTATAACATGACTGGCTAGAGGGGAGAAGTCTGGAGTTCTACACAGGCTATGGAATAGGACATAGCTAGTTCAGTCTCAGCTCCAAAGTAAAAAGCCCTTGCTGTTAAGGAAACATCTCTCATTTCTGGGGCCTGACCGCCTACTGGTTCTGGCTCTTGCACTGATCGGCAGGATGGGGCATGGGGCATGAGTGGGGGTTCCGGATAAGCTGTATGCCTCATCTAGGCAGGCCCATTTGGAACTCATGTTTGCTGTGGTTGAAAGAACCTCTGTGAAGGCCTACCCGAGGAAACTGAGCAAGAGGAAAAGGTGAGGCCAAGTGAAGGGCTCAGGCTCTCCTGAGGGCACAGGACCACTGACCTAGTAAGGGAGCATGCCAGGGCTCCTTCAGGAGGTAGAAGGGAAGTGATATCAGGCCTATGACAGCCAACCACAAGCTGAGGCTAGCACTTCCTTTTGGAGGAGTAAGTGGTAGTTATGGAACTCATTTACTCACCCTGATGCTGTTCCATTAGATCAGAGACTGACACCCAAGACCTTTTAGATCTGGATATAGCAGTGTAGCCATTACCCAGAAGCACCCTGGGCTACTGTTTGTGCTCACAGTCTGTGCTCACATCTAATGCTCATCCTGTACTCACAGTCAGTCTGTGCTCACATCTAATGCTCATCCCAATCCCATACTCTTGAGTTCTGAATGAGTTTGGCACAGCTCCTTCTACACTCCACCCGCTACTCCCTGCACATCACTGCACAGCCCAAGAGTGACTGAGCTCCAGACTCCAGCTGGGCATGCTATAGGTGCTTTAACCCCTGGCCCAGTGCCCATAAGATTGACTTCTCATGGGTCTGAGGTGGCCCCTAGTGGTGCAATAGGCAAAGTACGGATCTGTCTTCTGTGGAGTTAGCTGGCTGGCTGCCTAGTTGAGCCTTTCTCCTTAAGACTTGTCTAGGCTTTCTCTACAAGGTAAGCCTGGTTTGTCTGGACAGGCATTGCTGGCTGGCTTCCCACTGGAGAAATGGAATCTCTTTGTATCTAAGAACCTATCCAACCAAAGGACTAGGTGTCAGCCTCAGTCCAGTGTACCTCTTCAGGCCTTGGTGAAGACAAGAGTAGGGGTCTTGGCTTACAATTCTTGTTTCAAAGACAGAATCCAAAAATCCAGCCTCGAAGTGTGTGAGGGTGACAGTTGTCACTGCAGTCAGAGAGCACTTTGCTGACTGGCAGTGCTTCACCAGCATCTCTCCAGTCTCACAAACATTTACTCTTCCTCCTTTGAGGAAGGGCCTCACTATGTAGCCCTGGCTGGCTGAAATTCACTATGGAGACCAGGCTGGTCTTGAACTCACATAGGCCCACCTGCCTCTGTTGGGATTAAAGTGGTACACCATCACAAACATGTTTTTAATATGCAATTCATTGAGCCTGCTTGTGCCAGGCATGGGCAGTCTGGTTAAGGTTAACAAGGGGCTTCATTTTCAGAGGGCAATGCAGCCTCAGGGTGAAGAGAAAAGTTCAGGTTTTTTTCTGGCTGACAACATGCATACCTGTGGTCGAGCCCCACTGCAGTTTACCATCAGAAACAGAGAACACCTAGAATGCTCAGCGTTAGGTCACAAAGGCTGGTTGCATTCCAGATGTTCCCAGGCCAACACTGGCAGGTGTCAAAAGTAATAGATAATACAATCTCTGTAAGACCAGGCCTCTAGCAAGTGTTCAATACATACCCTCTCTGTCCCTTTCCCCTCTGATCCCATGTGCAGCCAGAACCACCTTCCCTTGGGTAGGGTCAGTGTGGCTCCTTTGGGCTTTGTCATACAAGTTCCTGGAGTAACATTCAGTTTCTGGATACCCTCTGCTGCCTGAGGCAGAGGCTAAAAGGGCTATCTAGGTGGCATCTCCACAGTTTTGCAGCTATAACATATAGAACTAAAAGAAACTTGGCCATTATTTGACAGATGGATGAACCCTAGGTGCAAGATGGGCCACAGGACTCACAATGTACAATGGGGCTGGTAGCCAGGGCTGGCATTGGGAATGTTAGTGTCCAGTTCTATGCTTTTACCCTCTCGACTTTTCCCAGCCTCCTTACTCCAGCCTGTTCCTGCTGAGGGGAGAGAGGGCCAGCCCCACTGATGAGCCTCTGCTCTCTAGACATCTTATTCTGAAGCTGTAAGAGGGTATGCCCTCTGCTGACAGAGGCCAGCTCCTTTCAGGGTTCCCTGAGTGTCAGCAGCTGCAGGGTGGGTAACCATGCTGGATGGTGAGTCACTTGCTCACACTCAAAGCTTAGCATTCTGGAAATTCTACACGAAGGGGTGACAGAGAGACTGAAGAAATGAAGAAATGTGATATGTCATGTCCAGTCACCACCGATTCCTGCAGAATTGGCGCCATTGCCTCCTGAATCACACTGTTTGTCAAGCTAGTGAGATAGCTTCTTTGTCCCCTCCAGGGTCTTCACAAGGGCCACCGCTTCCCTATGACTAGGTGGCTCTCTTATGAGAGGGTACCTGGTGGCCACCCTCCTGGTGGCAAGCCCTCCCATTGCTGTTGGTGACGAGACCTTCCTACAGTTTTGGGGGGAACAGGGCAGAGCTTATCATATCCATTTTACGGCTGAGGAGACTGAGGCTCACAGAGGCCCAGTATTTCCTCTCATCATACAGCTTCTAAATCTCATTTTTTCTCTCCCTCCCACTGCACCGTCCTCTGAACAGGCTCCCTCAAACTTGTCCCTGGAGCTCCATAGAAGTAACAATATCAAGCCATTCATAGAACTCAAAGGGCAGGGGCAAGTGCCGAGGACAAAAGTTGAAGGGACATTGAGGTGGAGACAGGAACTACTGTTAGGCTCATATGCTCTCCCTGGCTGGGTGGGCTCTTCAACCCTCAGAAGCTCGGGACAGGGCTGCCTTGGGAGCTTAGCAGGGAGCTCAAGGATCTGGTGGAGAACCCCAGCTGGATCTGGACAATGAGGCTCTGAAATGGGTACTTGTGGCTAGACACAAATGGCTTGGTCGCAAGGATTTGGTCAACAGAACTGTTGGGAGGACGAGGGGACAGGCTTGGAAAGGAAAAGCGCCACTTTCCAGGGAGGGGACCTTAGCCAACACCCACAGAGGGGTGGGAGGGTTAGTCAAGGCGGCAGTTAGAGCTTTCCTCTCAATAGGCACGTGATAGTGCTCTGTGGTCTTCTAAAACCTGCTGAGTGGACAGAAGAGAGTGGACCTGTGGTCTCTGCAGAGTAGGCAGCATACACCCTCAGGCACTTCCTCATCTGAGCCTCCAATCTTCCCAGGGACTCTGGGAAAAGCAGAAATGAGCTCCTCTTACAGGTCTGCCAGAGGCTCTGGATCTGAGCAAGTGGGGTAATTGACAGGACTCCCTGACTCTTGTAGAGGCTTTCTGTCTAGTACTGTAAGGAGGGTACCCTGAGGGTGAGGGTAGGAGTAGGTGCCATTTATAGGATTACACTTTCCAGACACTGTAGGGAGAGAAGAGAAGAAAGCCTGGGGAGCCAGGACTTTGGGGCAGTACAGTCCTAAAGACTGGTGTGGGTAGGACTAAAGTCCTGAGGCCTGGGTGCCAATCCACTCCTGGGGTCAGTAAGCCAAGTTACAAAAAGCAACCTCTTTAGGGGCTTCCTTTGTAAATTGTCAGACTGGGTGATTTCTGTTCACAACAATAATGGAATGCCCACAGTCATGGTAGTGGATGTCTGTAAACCCAGTAGAGAGGTGAAGGCAGGAGGGTCTTGCATTTTAGGCCACCTAGGGGATATACAGTGAGACTCTGTTTCAAAAGATAAATAAATATATAACCACTAGTCCCCAAAAATGAATGGTGAGGTATTCAGCCTGCTCCTAACTGGTGGTTAAGCTCGTGGATTCTAGAATTGGACCACTCAGACTCAGATTGAAGACATCAGTTGGGAAGTGAGTTGTGTTTCAGTTTCCCATCTAGGGATGATGACTCCATCTGCTTCCCTCCCTGAGATCATGTCCCAGGATGCCAAGGTAGTCAGCTTGTAACTTGGTAGGCCTGGGTTCTGGGTGCAATGCCCCCCCCCAATGTAGAAACTGCAGGCCAACCACACCATTTTTAAATGGTAGCTCACATCACACCATGCTGTACTTCTGTATGGTATACCCCCCTCACTTTTTCCCCAGAGTATCTTCTGTTTCCTTCAGAACACTGTTTACAGTCTAGCTCTGGGTCCTATCTCAGGATGGGGTGGGGGTGGGGGTCCTGAGAGGCCCCACACAAGGAGACAGGGCAAAGGACAGGATCAAAGGTTAAGCCTCTCACCTGGGCGCCTTTTTTCCTGACTGGGAGCCTCAAAGGGTGGGGCTTCTGGGGACAGAGGATCCCCTGGCTTCCTCCCTGACCGGTTTGGAGGTTTTTGAAGGAATGACTGAGTCAGCTAGGTTTATCTAAGCAGTAAATGACCACTTGGATTCTCCCTGGGGGCAGCAGCCTTGACAGACTAATAGCTACTCTGAGCATTAGAAGCTGTGAGAGAATCTCATCACAAGACACTCTGAGACAGGCTCCTCAGACTGTGCCCTCCTTTAGGGGAAGGGAGGGGGCCCATTGTGACTGTCAATGTGTGTACACCATCTCTCTCTTCCACCTCAGATACTAAACATCTCAAGGCCAGGGACCTTCTCTTGATCATTCTGCCTTCTCCCCCAGACTATGGCGACTTTGCAGTGACCTGATGAAGTGCGACTTCTCTCCTAAGCATTTCACAGCTTTCATAGTTTGTGAGACAAAAGAAACCTAAATAGTAAGTCAGAAATGGTTACATGAGGCTCACAGGCAGCCCCGTGTGCAGAGGCCAACAGAAAGCCCAGGAAGGCCGGAGCACAACCCTGGAGGTCAGGAAAACTTTTACTTGACTCACCACACCAACTCTTCTTGCCTAACAGGACCCAGTAGGAAGTGAAACTGGACACACTGGACAAAGGACAGGTGCTGTTCACTCTGAGGATTTTAGATGGTGAATAGATGAAGAAAGGCCTAGACACAGATAAAGTGACAAAGATCTGCCAAGATAAAGGACAGACCTTTCTGCCCATGACAGAGGAGGCCATGTTGGGCTCCCCAGTTTCCAGATGCACAGTCCTTAGCTCCCAACCTACCGAGGACTGTTATCCCCAGACCCCAAAGCTGAAGTGCCCAGCCACCTTCTGGTTTGGGCTAAGGATACTTCTCCCAGACCCTGATCCTGTGGGTCAGCCTTGTGGCTTCATTCTGGAACTGGTTTTTACCACCCGCCTTTGTGTTTCCCACCTCACTGGCACCTGTGAGGTGTTCTCATCTGTGAGCAGAGGCACAGAGTGGGTCCCAGCCTCACAGAGCTCTCTTCATGTTGAACACAACCCTTCTTGTTTTCAGTCCTGTCCCTTTCAACAAGTCACTCACTACTCAGGTCGGTGGGCCCTCTGATGATGAAGGGGGAAAGTCTAGCTGGGCTTCTGATGCTGTGAACAAGCTACTTGGAGCTGGCCTTTCTCTTTCCTGCCTCCAAGCCTCTGCCACATAAGAGTCCCAACTAAGCATCAAGATGTAGTCTAACCCTGCTTTCTCCATGAACAACCTAATAATGGCTACCTTCTCCTGCCTTCCCCATGCCTTCAGCTCAGCCACTGCAGGAGCTTCGGTTCATTCTCTGTAGTCCCCCAGCCCCAGCAGGGAGGCGTCCAGTCTCTGCCTGCAGCACGGAGAGCACAGCTGGGAGGAACTGATCCAACCCCTTCGGCTCAGAGATGAGGAAACTGAGACTCGGAGATGGAAGTGACCACGAATCAGAGCGAGCTCCAGATGCCCGCATCCTCCCGGTCTCTCACCCCTTCGTCCACACCAGTGCCACTGAGCTCTCGGTAATGTGGAGGGCTGGTGGGGCTGGAGAGAAGCCGGCGGGAGGGTGACAGGGCAGGACGCTGGGTGCCCAGCACCCATGGGCCCAGCAGGCCCCTCCCGGCCCGACCCAGACTCACTTTGCTGAAAGCGTGTTGATGGAGCCGGTGACCAGCATGAGCCCGGCCAGGAACAGCTGGTACTTGGTCCAGGCCATTGCGTTGGACAGGGGAGAGCACTTGAACCAGCAGCTACAAACCGGGTCATCCGAGAGGTGGTGTCTTCGGCTCAAGAGCTTCCGGGCCGAACGTCACGTGACCGTGCTGGCCCCCGCCCCGAGCCCGCTAGCCCCGCCTCGGAGCTGCCGCGGGTCCTCCTCTTTCTCTCCCGTCCTCTCTCCCTCCTTTCCTCCCTCTCCCCACGCCCTCTGGCTTTCTTCCCCCTCCTCCTTCTCTCCCCTCCCTCCTCTCCTATTTTTCCCTCATCTTTTTGCACTGCTAGTGCCTTAAGCGTGCTAAGGCAGCCCTCTACTTCTAAGAGTCCAACTCCTAGTCCCTTGGCCTCCTGGTTTGTAAAATGGTCGCTTGGGATCATGCAGAGATGATTAGGTGATCTTAGAGCATTTTGTATCTTAGAGCATTTTTGTAAACAGTTTTGAGAGGCTGAGCCTGGCGACTTGGTAATAGCCACAGCGTGGGAATCTCATTTCTCCAGCACCTCCAGAGAACTGGAGGCCTGGGAGATGTCCCTTGGGATCCCAGCCCATTGAATTGCTGACAACTTTCAGTAAAGTGACATTAAGAGTCAAGTTCCAGCTTCCAGTATGGCATCTTACAGCTAAAACTAAAAAAAAAAAAAAAAAAAAAAAAAAAAAAAAAAAAAAAAAAGAAAGAAAGAAAGAAAAGAAAAACAGACTTGGTGTGCAATCCCAGCACTTGGTGAAGAACAGGAGCTCAAGGCCAGCTCCCACTATATAAGGAGTCAGAGACCACTCTGGGTTACTAAGTAAATAAATAAAATAAAAACCTAAACCCAGAGAAGCCCAAGGATTTAAGGTCTTGCTTATGAGTGGCCATGGTGGCCGCTGTGCTTTCGGCAGCAGTGGTGGTGATGGTGTTGGTGGTGATGGTGTTGGTGGTGTGTGTGTGTGTGTGTGTGTGTGTGTGTGTGTGTGTGTGTGTGTGTGTGTGGAGGGTCATAGACTCAGGTTCTTTCTGCTCCCAACACTATGGGTATAGTTTGTTCACAAAACTATACTTGGGAATAGTTCACGAAGCCTCCCTACTTATCCTGCAGGACCCCCCTAAATGCTGCCCAGAGGCATTCAAGAAGTTGCCCAGCCCTACGTTTGTTTGTAGAGATTTCTAGCATTTAACAGTTTTTGAGACAAGATCTTGTCATAAAATCCAGACTGGCCTCTAGCTCACTGTGTATTCCAAGATGGGCTCCAGTTCATGACTGGCTTTCAATGTTTTTAAAAAATTGCATTTATTTATTGTGTGGTGATATATTGTTTATGATTTATTAAAGTTTGCCTGAGGATTCAGAAAGCAAAATCAGCCACAGGCCACAGAAGCCAGGCACACACCTTTAATCCCAGCAGCCAGAAGTTAGGAGGTGGTGATACACCCTATTAATCCTAGGACTCAGGGTTAAGAGCTAGACTATCTATCTACACATAGCCACCCAGATCTACACAAGAGTGAATCAGTCTAAAAGAGAATTATAGCTCACACCTTTAATCCCAACATTAGGGAAGTATGTAAGACAGAAGCCAGGTCTTGGAGAGGCATTCAGTGTCTAGCCATGCTGAGGAGAAGTTACAGTCTGAGATTTGGTGAGAACTCATGGAGATGGGATCAGCCCATTCAGCCTGAGGTAGAGGTGAGAGCTAGTGGCCATCTGCTTTGCTTTTCTGATAATCAGCTTGAAGCTTAAACCCCAATATCAGTCTCAGTCTCTGGGCCATTTATTTATGTGTGTCACATACTGTGTATATGTCAGAGGGCACATGTTACATGTTGGGGGTTAGAGGACAATTTAGGGGAGTGGATTCTCAGCTTCCAGCTGCCCACCCTCCTGTTCCCTGGGATCTAATCTGCAGCCCATGCTCTACCATAGGTTAAAAACAAAAACACCCTGATGGCTGCTCTAACTTACTATACACATTCTCTCTATTCCTGAAGATCCTATTACTAGAGGTACAGAAATAAGCTCTCCCGACCTCTTCTTTGAGCTTGTGAACATGGATAGTGTAGACTCAGAAGAATTCTCAAGGAACTGTAGCATTTTTTTTTGTATGATCAATGGAGAATGTATTGTAAGTGGGGCCTTGAATGAAATATAGGTTACCAGAGTGAGAGGGAAACCTCTTTCATGCAAGAAGAAGTCATGTGTTTGATGGTTCAGAGACAGGAGCGAGACAGGATCTGCAGAACATCCTTCAGAACGTTCCTTCACAAAGGCTTACTCTTTTTAGTTAACCAGGGGGTAAGATAGCCAAGAGGGGACACCTTCTGAGCTGTGTGTCCCTCAAAGCATTTTTAGTTTATGTGATTTCAAAGGAAGTCATAATTTATCCAAAACTGTTTACTGAGACAGTGGAAACAGATAAAACACAACTGTGTCCTAAAGGGACACCATCTGCCAGCCTCCTCCCGATGGCAGTCAGTGGGACTCTAGACTGTTTTCCCATAGGTCCAAGCCAAGGACACTGTCCTGAATGTAAACATTACTAATGACATTGGTGTCACTAGCCCAACATGATGTCACTTGCAGAACAGCCTCTGTCTCATGAGCCACATTATAAAATGTATTTTGATTTATCATATCATGTTGCAAGTATTCATCAAACAGCTGTCTCTGGAGTCTGATTTATAGGAGGATATATGGGTAAAAGCACTAGAGCCCACCAAGTGTAAGGCCCAGAGTCAAGTACAGGCTCCCAGAGCAGCCAGACAAGGTAAACAGAGTCTGAGGAATAATACTTGAAGTCGTCCTCTGACCTCCACCTATTCACCAACAAGCACAGACACAAAAAGTAATAATTATAATTAATCCTGTTTAGTATATATATGTTCTGGGAAGTATTAGAGACATACTTAGTCCAGCCAGTTGCCAACAATAACTTTTGTCAACAATGAATTCCAGATCATATTACCTAGTGACATTGTGGACATGTTAGTATTTAATAGCAGCCTGTGGTGTTCCTTCTTTTGCACCTAATGACACATATCTATCTCAGAATGTGTGACACATATCTCAGACTGTGTCCCTGTCTGTAAGTGACAAGGATTGCAATATAAAATGAGTCACTCTTCTGAAACCAAATTTAACGAAGGCTGCTTTTCAGCTGAATTTGCCTTCATTCTGCTCTGAGAGTCAAACACCGAGGTCTGGAATCAGTGATTCACCCCCAAACGAGTGATCAGCACTGTTTAGAAAGAGAGGGGGACAAAGAGAACAACCTTATGTGGCCCGAAGCTGGAAGGAGCAAGTACTTTCTTTTTTTTTTTTTTTAAATTATGTCTGGTCACCATAGAAACCAGCTGTAAAGTCAGCCAAAAGGAGCTAGTAAACCAATGTCCACACTTCTCTGCTAGTGTGGACAGTCTATACTCATCTCCCCCGTGGTGTTGACAGTCACACACTCTGCTTGTCAGGTTTGACCTGGTTCCCTAACCTCAATTTCTCCCCTTAGATAAAACCCAGCCTCCTTTCTCTCAAGTCTCTTGGTCTTCTGTCCAAGCACAACCTCAGATGGCCGACTTTCAATACCACCTTGAAGGGAGAGGTTGTCAGCATACCCAGCCTGACCAAAGGAGGGTGGGCGGGGGAGGGGGTCATATTCCAGGCAGAGAGCAGGATGTAGAAGGGGAAATGACACAAGGATATACTGAAAAAATTGTTTTTAAAATTCAAATCTGACTTGGCCAGTCTGTACACCTATCTCTGTCCTTCCCAAGATAAAATAATTCTGTTCTAATCCAGAAAGTGATTAAATTGGTCGGGAAAAAATTCATACTTTCAGACAAGCCGCAAGCAGACTGGCAGTCAGCTCGGAATACAAACAGGGTCTGTAGCGAACATTTATTTGGCACTGGGAGTTAGAGGTTCTTTGAGGGTAACATGCAAATTTGTTGACAATGCTCCTGGTTTACTGAAGACTGGATCAAGTTTATGTAGAGCAGGAGGAGTGCTTTTAGAAAGCCCCGGCCTGAAGCTTCGTGCTGCCCTCTAGATGGGCCCAGATCTTACAAACTAACTGGCTGCTTTGGGCTTGCTTTCTTGTCAGTCTTCCTTGCTATACAAGCTGTGAATACTGTTTCCTTTTTTACAGAAAGGAAAGTAATGCGGATTTTGTAAAGTTGATGTGGAAGCACACCAGCCCACTTGGAATTTGCCTCTTGAGGCCCTAATGCCTTTGCCTGTCTCCCTGCCCAGTGTGGGCAGGCATACTAACCTAGGTTTTTATCTCCAAGGTCCATTCCAGCTGATGGCACAGACCTGGAATCTCTCTGTAAGTCTCTCCCCAGAATGAGGGCTGGCCAGCCATTCCAGGGTATCCATGAGGCTTTCTATAAGTAATGGCACCTCTTCCCCACCTGGGGATATCCTTTACTCTCTTCAAGTGCCTGCTTAAAACTTTCCTGAACCCCAGTTTCTCAATACTAAAGGCTTTGGTTGGTGGGCCATACCTATCTATTAAGCTGACAGTTGTCAGTATGTATACTGGAGAGTTAAGAAGCCTCTCCCAAGGCCCAAGGCCCATCGGAAGTATAAGACCGACAAATCCATTCATGGTAGCACACATTGTACCCCAGGAAACCCAAAATCACCAAGCCAAGGAACAAAGGTATCCTCTTTCCTAGCTGTACCAAGTGAGAAACATCCAATGCTGATTTATAGAGGTGCCCACCAGCCCATCATCAAACTACTCCACACACTCTGTCCTGGGACTTTTGCTCATCCCATTTGAATCAACTCTTCCACACCAGCTCTGCATCTGTAGCCATTTCTATGTCTAGAACCAGCTCTATAACTGGGCTGTGACACTAACATCTTATCTAGCCACTTGTTATTTTCAGAACATTGTGTTGGCTCTCTGGTACAGAATCCTGGGTGGGAGACTCTGATATGGAGCTCTAGCATATCAGGTCATGTTACTTACCCCCAAAAACCCAAAGGAATGAGGGACACATTTGTACAACATCAGAATTAATAATTAATTAATTAATTAATTAATTAATTTTGAGACAGGGTCCATTTACATAGTCTTGACTAGCCTGGAACTCACCAGGTAGCTGGGTTTGAACTCACA